CCACTACAAATATTTTGGCATATAAATAATAACCTCTCAAATATTACCTCCATTCATGGTTGATAATTATTTTCATCAATATATATCAAAATTCATATTTGATTAAGTAAATTTTAAGCGACGCATTAACTCCCAAAATATCAACCAAGCAGTTTCTTTCCTACTTCCCAATTAACAAGAATCACATGTCCTATGTTGGCCTACCAATGCCTCCATAGGTTGTTTAGAAGCGAGTCATATTTAATGAATTCTTAAGGATCCCATCAAACATGTTTGTAGAGTGTGACATGCACTTGTCTTAACTACTATATATAGCTCAACATGGGCCCCAACATAACTGCCTATCATAACTAAGTAGGCACAAATCTTGACCTCATTTATGACTATAAGCATTAATCTCAATTGTCATTGGTTCCTTTTTTTAATGTTGATACAAATACTGTAGAGGATGTAGAACGCGTCCGGAGATCAATTCGGATGTGCCACATCACCCACTACACAATGCTTAGGTGATGTGGTGTGTTCGGAACGGCCTCTGGATGCATTCGCGTCTGCACGTAATAATCTCTTGTAGAGCAGAAGATTGGGAAAAAAATAACAAGGTTTTACTTCGTTGATTAATTTTTACTAAATATGAAATGAGATGTAAAGTATAATTCAAATTGATAAAGACATCAATATAATATCAAAATAATGTTGTTATTAGCATTTGTGATGGTTAACATATTCAAAGGTAGTTGTAATGCAAATATTATATGAGTCGATAGTATTAACCTTGCAAAAGATGTTGCAAAAAATCATAGGTAGGGGTGGATCCACCATAAGCCATTGCCACCCTTGAAAACATTTTAACAAAATTGTGATATGATTCTTTAGGTAATTTATCCCCCTTTGATCTATTTTTTTTAGTCTTTATTACAAGGGTTTTTAAATTCTTATATGCAATACTATTTTTTACAATGAAATTTGTTAAACATCTATTATGCAGTAAAATGGATGATAACTAACTTAACAATTGTGTAGCATCATATATTGAGAAAGAAATATTTGACTTTATTTCACAAATGAAATTGTAATGCAAAATTATCAGAAAATGTAAAATTGAATGCAAAGCTTTGTAATTTTTTTATTTAAAAATTATAATACAATATAAAAATTTATTTTGAATTTTGTCTTTTATATATATAGCCTTCTCTCTCTCTCTTTAATAATCAAGGTTGATTTCACCTCTACTTATTACAATTGTTTAGAATCTGTTGATTCTTCACTTTTCATTCATTCATATTGTATATTGATTTATATTCACCTCTAATCCTCTTTTTCAATTCATATTTATCTTATCTATGATTTAAACATTCTTCCTTTTAATTGTTCTTTAATTTTATCAACACATTCACATATGTAAATCGCCAAACTTTATTTTCCACAACTAAATTTTCCATAGATGCTATTTCTACCATTCGTCTAACAATAGTTGTTCTATATCATTTTTAATTGTCATGCATCCATCTTCATATTTTTATTTAATTTTTATCACATTCAACATGGCTGTACATTAGATAAGAAGATTAGTATTAGTTTCTTCTTCTGGGATATGATATTGTATTGTCCTTGATTAAAGAATTGGCTATTTAAGCCATTGAAAAGTATGTTGGGAATATTTTTTGCATCCATATAGCACCAAATTGTTATGTACTAAAAATTTTACAGCTATAGAGTTTGTGTTTAATATCTTAGCTTTGAATAAGTATTTAGCATGCACAGATAAAAGTTATATGATACACTATAATTTTTTGAATGAAAAACTAAAAAAGGAGAAAATTAATAGGTTCTGACCCAATTGCAATGGTCCATTATATAATTCAAGATACAAGAGATCACTCTTCTGCATAATTGAAGAAGATTAAATTACACAATTGAAAATAATAGTTTGACTTTGATTATAGTGATTACATAAGTCAGGTGTCCACAAAAAAAGATTTGAAATCCAATAAAGTTATTAAATGTTAATAGTTAAGCAACTATATTTTGATGTCGAAAGTCATGTGATGGCGGCAGCGATTATTAATGACGGTCATAGCCATTTGGCCAGAATTCAATATACTTCATCAAATATATTATAGATCATTTTTCCAACATTTGAGTGCCTTAATGATGTGAGAATCAATTTGATTTGGGCTCATTTGATTTGCTTTGACAAGCCCTTGATTTGACAGTAATCAAATAAAATTGGAGACAATTTGATCTTTCAGTTAATATCTTGAAGCTTCTAAATATACTTCAAGTATTTGATTTGAATTTATTTGAAGTTAGATCTATCACTTTTGGTGTTGATGGGTTCGCCTCATTAAGAGACCCATTTCTACTATAAACTTATTAAAATCATAGTTTGGATGATCCGTAATTTAATTTAAATTTTTTAATTCATATTGGGATAGAAATCTGCTTTAAGAAACAGAAATAAAGTTGTCACAAACGAAGCCTAAGTTGAATGGACCACCAGCGACATTCTTGACTGCCAAAGAGCTCATCACACCATTAAAAACCAAAGAAGAAAGAAGAAAGAGACCCCAAGCCAGATCAATTATTGTCCCAGATATGAATTGCCAAACCATAATACAAAAAACTTTTAACCACATAGAATTGATATGAAAAATAGCATTTGTGATGCCAAAGCATGCTATGCTGACTCCAATGAAACCACTGAACTTGTGAATTTAGTGTAGAAACTAGAGGGAGGAAGATCTGCTTGAGATAGCTTCTTGCAAGATCAAGAGAGGGAGAGAGGAGGGAGAGGGGAGAGAGAGAACCGTGAGCCAACTTTCTCAGATTTTCATTAATTCTCTTGGCTGCCTTTTACAACCTAAAGACTTCCTATATATAGACTCAAAAGCCATACAAAGAGCAACACCTAAAGCTATACAAAAAATACACAAAAGCAAACCTAAATCTATGACTAATACCTAACAATCACCCCCTTAGTCCAGATTTTACAAAACAAAAGATAACCACTGTTCTTGATAGAACAGCCAAAGAATGATCATGTCGGTCTCCTCCGCCAAAAAAACGTCCACCGACATTTAAGCTCCACCTCCCGACAGATCTCCTGTCGCACTGCGTCCAACGCAGCCAATCCCGAGCACCCCTAGCCCGGCTTCCGCGTCCTGTGCATCCACCAGCACCCTGCGCCTCAGTGCCCGCGCCCTGCGCCTCCAGCCCGCGTCCAAACGCCACAAGCCCGCGCCTGCGCCTTGCACTCATGTGGTCTGTCACCGACCACATCCTGCACGTATCCACCCGTGCAGCAAGCCCTGCGCCTTCACCGCGCTCCGCTCGTCACAAGATCACGCTCCGCACTGCCACATCCGGCCAGTACCCTGCGTGTCTTTCACCAGTGCCCCGCGCTCCTATGCGGACTCCTCATGCACCGCACGACCACGCATCTCCCAACGCCCCGCACTTTCAACCCTGTTCCTCAAGAACAGCCGACACTACCACAGTGTCTCCCAGACTCCACCCGGAGTCCAAAACTCCACCACAAAGAAGATCTAATCTCTTCTTTAAAGAACTGAACCGTTATTTTAATCAAAGAACATATTTCTTTGAGCAAACCACCGCCTCAGTTCAGCTCCTCACGCAATTTCAACCATCCGAACTCTATAGAACTTGTCCGGTCCGGTCTCTATGCAAGAACCATTAGCAAGCAAGTACAATCGACCCAATCCACGAATACAAGCCTCATTTTCTTCTTGAAATCGTGGTCTGGAAAAGGACTTCTAGCCTGCTGATCCCGTGACCAAGAAGGGAATGTGAAGAAAACCTTCTGCCCTCTGGTTTTCTTGGTTTTGCTCCCAAGCAAGAAGATCGAGTTCCCTATTCCCACCTCCGACGGCCTCCTACGTCTGACCTCCAACTCCGACGGCTTGCCAAGGTCGACCGCAAGAAACACAAGCCCAAACCTTTGTCGTGCAATCCTTGCACGTGACCCAAGCCTTCCGGCCATCACCGAAGCCCGAAGGATCCCAATCGGCCTCCACCTCCGGCCTGACCAGCCGCCTGCTCCAGTCCCGCCTCCTTCCTTTTCTTGGACAGCACACCTTCATCTTCCTCCTTCAATATCGCCACCAGGGCTCTGATACCAAATTGTAGAAACTAGAGGGAGGAAGATCTGCTTGAGATAGCTTCTTGCAAGATCAAGAGAGGGAGAGAGGAGGGAGAGGGGAGAGAGAGAACCGTGAGCCAACTTTCTCAGATTTTCATTAATTCTCTTGGCTGCCTTTTACAACCTAAAGACTTCCTATATATAGACTCAAAAGCCATACAAAGAGCAACACCTAAAGCTATACAAAAAACTACACAAAAGCAAACCTAAATCTAGGACTAATACCTAACATTTAGTGTGATCAGTAATAGCAATTCACTAATCAAATAGTGATGAACAGAGAATATAGAGGGGAGACACTTGAGGAATGTATAAGTTTTGAATTGCAATAGTGATGATGCACCAAAGAAATGAACTCCTAGTGCTAAAATTGTTTCGAATTAAAAAATTTTTGTACTAAAAAGCTATTTTATCTTAGTAAGAAAGCTATCCCAAACGAAACCTAATTAGTTAGTAAAAATGACTTAACTCATAAAAATCTCTATTACTTTGATAGCTAATGGCCTAATGCATCCAGTTCATTGTATTTGACATAAGTAGAACAGTGTATTCAGTTTTCAAAATCAGCTTCAACTTTGGAGTTTCTGCATCTTTTCTGCATGCGTTTTATTTTGGATTCTATCTTAAAAAAAGCATTATAGCTAGGATGCTTCCTGATTTGTCACCATGGTAAGTTCTTCTAAGTGGAAAAAGTTCCTTCTAAGATTTTTTGCTTGCTAGCGTCTCCCATACATGTAAGTAGCTAGTCAATTCTTATTCTTTGAATTAATGCAAAACTTAGAATCCTTCACCCAAGAAGGAGAGATTATTCTGTGCGGTGTCCGAACGAGCCCAGAGGCTAATCCGTAGGTGCCACGTCATCCAATGCACTGTGCATTGGATGATATGGCGCGTCTGGATTAACCTCCGGATACGTACGGACACTGCACGTAATAATTTTTCCCCCAGAAAGGGCCAGTTTGCATCTGTAAGAATGCTGAAGACATTTAGACAAAAATAAAAGCACATGGCAAACATGTTGCAAAATGGTAATTGGATCACAGTGCAACAACTGGTCAATTAGCAAGAAAGTTTTAGAGTTTTCTTGAGGAAAAACAAGAGAACAGTTGTTTGAATGCTTGTGGGCAGTTTGATAGTCATCATTACAATCAACAGACTAGCAATCAGCCTTAATCAACTAAGTGGAGTTCAATGAATACTCTATCCAGAGCGTCAAGTCTACCATTCGGATTAAAATTGGTTATTTAATGCTTTCTTAAAACTGAAAACTATACAAAATACAAGTAAATGAAAATTCAAAACATATATTCAAGCAAAACAAAAAATCTGACTTGCAATATCTGCATTGCATATAGTTTCAATATATTCCCATGAAGCTATAAAGGAAAGGAACATGTGTACCTGATTCAAGCTTTTGGTCGTGATTTTTCTTCTGCCTTATTTGTTGACATGATGTTGAATTTTTTTGTGGATAAAGTATCACTCTTATATTAAGCATCCCAATGAAGCATAAACAGGTTTAGCTGAAGGAGACATATTCTAACTTCAAATTTTCCTACTCTAATGAACTCAAAATACCAATAATAGCTCCAGGTCATCTCTTATTTGAACTTTCATTTGAAACTGCAAATGTCTAAGCACCAAATAGATCATCTCTGATTCAGGAAGAACTCTATCTCCAGCAACAAACTCCCAAATGTTTCCCTCAACCTCAATTGCACTACACCCAGCCTCCTCCTTACCTCCAAATCTCCTCATCAACCCTTTCACAATTTCCACATCACCCCATCTTTTTCTTACTGCATACAAGTTCCTCATCATTACATAATTCCTAACATTTCCCGGATCAACTAAAGATGCCATCTTCATCACCCTCTCCGCCCTGCTAACATCTCCTTGGCAAAAGCAGGAAAACAACAAAGAGCTTAAGATGATCCCATTCGGACCAGATGGCATATTATTGATAAGAGCCTCAGCTTCCTCTAGATGACCTCCTCGGCCAAGGATGTCCACAAAACAGCCATAGTGTGCGAACTTCCGTTCTATACCAAAATTCTCCATCTCATTGAACCACCTCCTCCCTTCCTCAACAAGCCCACCATGGCTGCAAGCTGTCAATACAGCGACCATAGTCACGTCATCAGGGTTGGCCCCATTCTGCTGCATCTCAATGAATGCATCCAATGCTTCCATTGCCCTTCCATTTATAGCCAGTCCATTGATAAGAGCATTCCAAGATGCGGTTTCCTTTCTACGCATGCAGTTGAAGAGCTTTATTGCCTCATCTACATCCCCACATTTTGCATACATGTCTATCAATGCAGTGCAAACTGTGTTCACAAGGTCGAGCCCTTTCCTCCGAGCATAGCTGTGGATCCATCGGCCGAGGTCCATTGCACCGAGGTCAGCAATGGCTGGAATGATGCTCACAAGTGTGACTTTATCCGGGCTGAATGGGAATGAATGTGACTGTAGCTCTTGGAACAACTCCAGCGCCTTGTGAGGCTGCCGATTGCTGCTGTACCCACCAATCAAGGCATTCCATGAGAAAAGGTTCTTTTCAGTCATTTCATCAAACAACTGCCTTGCAGAAATCATGTCACCAGCCTGGCAGTACCCGGACAGCAGAGTAGTCCAAGACACCACATTTCTTTGAGGCATTTCCTCAAACAGCCTCCGGGCAGAAACTATGTCGCTTGATTTCACAAAAACATTAATCATAGCATTGAATGCTGCTATGTCCTTCTCCGGCGTTAACTGAAACATTTCCATCGCAGCTCCAGCTTCTCCAATCCTTGCATACCCAACCGTCATCGCAGTCCATGACGCTGGGGTTCTCTCAGCCATTTCGTCAAAGACGCTCCTTGCGGATCTCAAATTTCCAGCCTTAACATACATATCAACTAAACCAGTGGATACAAATACATTACAGCCGAAACCCATTCTGACAATGTGAGCATGCAGCTGCGAGCCTTCTCTCCGATCCATTGGTTTTGACAAAAAGGCGCAGGCTTTAAGAAGGAAAGGGAAAGTATAGCTGTCAGCGTTGAAGTCTGCCGATCGCCGGAGGTCTCGATAGAGAGAAACTGATTCGTCGCAATGGCGATTTTGGACGAGAGAACGGATCATAGAGTTGCAGAGTAGTGTGTCCTGGGAAGCGCGGCAGTCGAAGGCGTGGCGGGCGTGGAGTAGAACTGACGTGGAAGCCGCGGGAAAACCCCTGGAGAGAGAGGCAGCAACATTGGAAAGGGACGAGATAAGAAGAGTAAGTAGGTGGATGTTGGTGTATAGGGAGCGGCGAAGGAAAAAGGCGTGGATTTGGAGGAGGGGGGAGAGATGGCGAGAGGACAAAGAAAGGGTTGATAAGCGGATCTGTTGTAGGAGCGAAAAGCAGAGCTTCTCGTCCGGCGACCAGACCCCGCTGAAGCCGAGGGAGAGGGGCGGGGTTGGGTTGGGGAGATCTGAGAGCATCTTCTGTTAGATTCTTCATCACGGATGAAGCTTGGCAACGCGCAGGAGACGATGCTGCATGATATATTTATGTATTTTTAAATTGATAATTTTATCTTATTAATAGAGAGTCAATTTTTAATTTTTTTTTTTTTTTTTTTTTTGGGACATTTAGGCCATTTAAGGCAAACTCACACACACAACGCATACACAAGGACTCGAACCTTGGACCTCTTAATTGGAAGCCTAAGCTTTCAACCAATAGGGCAAGGAGAGTTGTGTATTATTTATTTTAAATAGGTAGATTAATGAAAATAGTCTAAATACTTTCTCAGATTTGATTAATTCATCTTATAAAAATTGTTGCGTCCTGGACCGTTGACGGGCGGAAGTCTGGTGTCAAGTAGAAATTCGGCAACGGGCGGAAGTCCGACGTCGGGTAGAAATCCGGCGACGGATAGAAGTTCAACTTCAGGTAAAAGTTCAACGAAAGTTCGATGAAGGATGAAAGTCCCACGTTGGGTAGAAGTCCGACAAAAGTTCGGTGACTGGAAAAAGTTCAGTGATAGACGGAAGTTTGCCGTTAGGTAGAAGTTCTGCGATAGGAGGAAGTTCAATGTCGGTTAAAAGTCCGACGACAGGCAGAAATCCGGCGACAGGCGATGTTCGGCATCAGGTGGAAGTTTGGCGTCGGGCAGAAGTCCGACGTCGGGTAGAAATCCAGCAAATGGCCGAAGTCTAGCGTCATTTTTTGGTCGGGCAGAAATCAAATGTCAATTGGTGGCCGGGTAGAAATACGGCGTTAGTTGGTGGCCGGGCAGAAATCCGACATTAGTTGGTGGCTGGGAAGAAATCTGGCGTCAGTTGGTGGCGGGGCAAAAATCCGGTGTTAGTTGGAAGCCGGGCATAAATTCGGCTTAGCCGGGCGAAAGTTCGGCGACAATTGGTGGTCGAACTGTAGTTTGATGGTGATCGAGGAGTATGATGGCAAGAGAACTCTTTCTTCTCTTCCAAATGCGCTTCAGTTCCTTGATTTGGACTCATTTGGTCTCAGATTGAGTCCGATTTAGTGTCGTGGGTCGTATTTCTGAGATGTTCAGATGATTTCCGAATTATTTTTTGAAGTTTCCAAGTTGATGTTGCCTCGAGATTCGTGCCCGATCAAGATAATTTTTTGATGATATAACAACTATCATCAGATCATTTAAAATTTGAAAAACCCAATTTATCATAAGAGGCCAATGTTTCTTAAAATACTGCAATTTGCTCCTATGTTGCTGATGAAAAGCTAATTAACATTAGAATAATTAGCAAAACGCGTAATTAGTTGGATGGTTTTCATTAGAAGATTAACACTTGTCATTAACTTTAATCTGACCATGAATCAAAATTAAATTAAAGTTTGTAAAATGTTGGAATGTTATGCCTTCCATAACCACACAATCACATCCCATAGGCATAAAGACTCGAAGATGACTATTTCAAAAAAAAAAAAAAAAAAAAAAAAAAATCAATAGCCTTATAAAATAGAAATTTGTTTTTAAATCAAAAGAGCAAACCACATAAATTTACGTTTCTATCATTTTTTTTCTTCTAGAAAAAGAATAAGCAAAGACGAAGGCATATTGGTCTCTAGTATTTGAGAAATTATTACATGCTGAGTTCGGATGAAACTTTTCGTCCAAACTCCAATCACGTGAAGATACCTTTTTGTACACATCCTATGTACTATAGAGAGAGAAAAATGCACGTGTCTTCACGCAATTGAAATCTGGATGACGTGCGGACTCCGCACGTCATAATTTTTCCTAGTATTGATGTTGGAACGTAATAGCTTTTTGTATGTGCTACAGGTCTAGAATTATTAAAAGCTCTGTTAAATGTTAACAACAAAGATTTTTAGCTTGCTTTGTTAACAATAGAAACTAAGTTTTTATTTGGGACAGTTTTCTTACGATTTTCTACAGCAATTTTTTAGTACAAATTTTCTTCAAAGCAGTAAAACAATGAACTAGGTAGGTTGCTGGCTCATTTTCTAGCTTGGTTCATTAAATCTGTAATCCATTCGAATTTGGTATAATTCACACAAATCACCTGTTGAAACACAGTTCAAATTTGTTTATGAAATTTGTATCTGGCTTGATTTTAGCTTCTTAAAATTAATTAGCTAATATTAAGCTGAACTGTTTCTGAACATGCATGAACGAACTCAATTTTAAGAAATTTTTTTTAACGTAGTCAGGCCTAAAAAAGAAGAGTAGCAGGATCGCACTCGACTTACCTCAGCTTCCATTCCATCTAATTGGGAAAACGATTAGATCATCATATAATTTTATGTAGAAAAGAAGCAAAGTGGTCCCTTACTCTTTATGAAAAACAGAAGTCTCTAACTATATTAAATGATCATTTTAATCTTTTAAGTCTTAAAAAAAGAATCCGAATAGTTTCATTATGAAACTATTTTAGTCCCTCTTGAAAAAGTTGAGGATTCAAAATAATTTTTTAATATAAGTATGAGCCATTTTGGCAATCCTAAAAAGAGTCGAGATATCATTTTGTTACTTTTATCTAATTTTATGTCAAAATTAAAACTAGATAATCTAAGCTAATTTGAAGATAGTGCTAAAAAGTAGAGGATATTTAAGTAAAAATAGAAATATGTTAAGAAAATAGTCTTTGGTATTATTTTTTATTTCTTTAAAAAAGATGTTACACACTATATAGATAACAAACATAGCACACATAATTTTACATGATTTTGTGAGATTCATCTTCGACCATGATAATATAAAATTCAAAACTGATAATATCAGAATTTATCTTCATACAAAGAGATATTTGAAGTTGCCACATTGATAGATGCATGAATCTACTTGTTACATGTATAGTTGAGCTACACATTGAAGTTGCATAGCCTCTTATTATATGGTTTCGCTTGAGATAGCTTTTTTACTATTTTTTAAAATAATTTTTTAGTATAAAAATTTATTGGACCATAAATTTTTGTCAATAAATTTTTATACTCAAAACTCAAAAGTTGTTTTAGAAAGTAGTATAAAAATTGTTCCAAAAGAAGCCTAAGGCCTTCTCCAGCCGTTCGACAAACAGGCGAATGGAAAGTCTCAGACGTGCCAACCGAACTCCATTTTTGCCGGCATTCAGTCGCTGATGAACAATTGGCGTCGCACTGTTCACTTTCGCCATTTCTTTCTCTCTACCGAACTCCGTCTAAGAAAGGCGCGAAAGAAACGACGATGATTTTGGGGCACAATGGCGTTCCACTGGAGATAAATCACGTCACTTTTTTATTTTACTGCATTTTGCAGTGAAAAATGAGAGTTTCGGTAGGAGATGCCCTAAGAAAGTCAATTAAGATTTCGTTTGGGATGACTTTTTCTTGTTTTTAAGATATTTTTTACTTAAAAGCAAGAAAAAGATGGTGTTCTAAAGTTGTCCCAAGCAAAATTTAAGGCAGATGTTGCCAACTTCTTTTTTACTATAGACAAGACACATCAAATTCTTGTTGCATTGTTGGATGGTGGCTGTGGAGCCCCCTTTCTTTATTTTGATGAAAGAACCTGAAACTCTATCTTTCTCTTTTCTTTTTTAGAGTGTCAAAGTGGGTTGACAAGTTTGATATAACTCTAATCCGAAATTGATATAGGTCCGTTAACACATTTTGATTAAACAAAATTATAACATTTACTATAAAGTTTAAAATATTTAATAAAAAATAAAAAGATTAGAATTTAAAAATTAATTTCTTAAAGATAAGATTTTTAAAAATCGTGAAAAAAAGTCTTTCAAACACATAATTTTTTGCATATATATATATATATATATATATATATATATATATATA